CCAGTAGGAGCCAGGTCTTAGTTGATTCTCAAGTGGCTATGGCAACACTAGGTATATGCTATGAATGTAACACAGAAATGCCTGTTTAGGGATTTGAAAACACTCACCTGAAGCAATATTGATGTATGGGGACCAAGTAGAGGATGCTGTCAACTCCTTGCCAATGGAAAGCCCTCCTTTAGTAGACTTGAGAGGCCTTCAGCTACAGGCTCACGGACACTTAAACCTCAACCAGAGCAACTTAGAGCAATGTCACATGCTCTCAGAAACATCCTTCCTCAGATGGGGAAAAATCTGCTGAGTTGGCACTTAAAACTCAGCTCACCTGTTCAATTTAGTATATCCCCCTGTATGAAGAGCACCTGACTTAGTCTGGAAACTAGATAGAGTTTTAGTATAAAATATATTTCTGGGATTGTTGTGGGGTAAGTTTAGATTCTGAGTCCTCAAGAAAAACATATATACTAAATGGACACACTTTTGAGCCTATGGTCTCCAAAGTGGGATGGGGAAAAAAAAATCAGGTAGCAAAATCATTAGAAAATCAATCTCTATATTTTATTTCATCTTTGATTTTTATTTTCGTGTGTTTTCTAATGCCTGTATTAGGATGCTAGGGACGGTAACAGTAACAGCAAAAACTGATGCTCACTGAGTACTCACTGTGGACCAGGCACTGTTCAAAAGCACTTCAAGTGTTTAAATTCAGTTTACTGCTACAGCAGCATGATGGGGCAGACACCATTATTAGCACCTTGTATAGGTATATGATTTACAAATGAATTTCTGTATATACGTGAACTGAGAGTACATACTTAAATTATGTACTGTCAGGAGTCCACAGTCAAAAACACCACTATCCTGGTCTCTCAGCCATCCTCCATTCCTTTGGGTGCCCCCACTTCTGTGGGTATTCCCAGCTTCTGTAAACCCTCCATCACTTCTGTCATTGTGTAGACACCCCCACTTCTTCAGGTAGCCCCCTACTTCTGCAGGTACTCCCCCCATTCTGTGGTCATGCCCTCAAGGTCTGTGAGTGTCCCCCACTTCCCTGGGCACCCAGAAATTGCAGGCTCTGCTTGCTTAAGTGCTTAGTATGAATGAGAAGGCAAGGAATTCCAAGAGATGCAGCATTTCTTAGGTAAAATCACTAGTAACCTAATTAGCATTCACTTTAGGACCGGCTCTGGGCTCTCACTCTTAATACCCTGCAGTGGATTTTTGCAATTTCCAGCCACTTCTGCCAGTCACTTTCAAGTGGGCTCACAGCTCTGTACTTTTGATTTTGTTGCATTGGAATGGCTGGCCTCCTTCCCAGCTCCTCAGTCCCAATGGGAAAGCATACCACCAGTTTTAAGACCCTGGTGGCAGGGGCCGCCTTCCATCAGAGGAAGGCTGTGGGGCAAATTAATCCAAGGTCACTGCGGCAGAGGGACCTGGAGAAGGGGCCGGGCTGCCCATGCACATCACGACCCACCAGGGGTTTGGCAACAGTGCGCCCTTAATTTAAGGCATTGGGTTTAAATTTGAGTCATAGTGCCATATTTCAGCCTTTTGTTTGCCAAACCACCAGTCAACTTAAACTAAAACATGTTTTTGGAAAAGATTTTTAGGGGTGGTAGGAATGCAGTAACTTGCTGGAAACATTCAAATGGACTTAGGGTGGTGATGCAGAAAAAAATTAAAATGTGCATTGGTTTAGGTTGTGATGTTCTTTGCTGCAGAGGGACAGAGAGAGTGGGGTTATTTTGTGTGTCCTTCCTGATCTGATGGCACACAGGGATCAGTTCATTCAGGTCAGGAAACCAGTATTCAAGGTTCTCCAGGACCTTCCTGGTCTGAAGACGGCATCTGTAGTTACCATGTTCTCATTCCATAGAGAGAGCTTGTAGGACCAGGTCAGAGATCATTCTGGCATTAAAACATGAAAGCTGTCTCCTGCATTTGTATCTCCACGTGTCTTATTTAAAAACTCATTATGCAAAATTCAACATCTGGGCTCCCAAGTAGTTTCTGAGCTGGCTTGCAAATTTGAAAACACATTGGGATCACCTGGTGGATAAATTTAAATAGCCATGCCTGGGCACCACCTTCAACCAATTAAAGTGGATGCTCTTGAGGTAGGCTTCCTCAGAGGAACAAGCTTCGCAGGTGATTCTAATGTGTTAACTGGAGACCCACTCTCTCCACTGGCCTCACTATACCCTGGGTTAGTCAGCACTTGCTTTCTCGTGGTTATACCAAGTTCTACACCACTGACCTGGCCCCTGGAAGCCTCACCAGCTCCCCAGAGGAATTTCCAAAACGTGTAGGTCTTGAGGCATGGTATGAGCCCATTTTTAAAAACAGACTTTTGTAAGTGGGTAAGTTGCTGCTTTGAAAGATTTTTTTTTTAATTGAATGCTTTGAAAGATTTTAAGTCATCTTTAAAACCCACAGTTAAAACTGTGTTTAAGCCATGGGAGGGGTGTAGAGATGGAGGTAGGGGCAATGAGTGTAGCCTGAAGCTAATTAAAAAAAGGTACAAATGCTGTATAAGAACCTCTCCAATTTGTATTCAGAATCTTTTATTCCAAAAGTTCTACGGAATGTTTGTGCTAACTGATAAAAATCTAACATTTTGAGATAGGAGGGCTGGCCATCTAATTCCCTCTACACATCTCTCTTATTGAAACTGACAATCAGCAGGAACATGACGCATTTTTGAAAAATGTACTTTGTCTTTAAAGAGATTAAACAAATTTTATGGATTCAAAGTTAGTTCAGTTTCTTACTGGAACTGAGGAACTGTAGTATTAAGAAACCATTAGGCCACAAAGTTGGTTTAAGGATAAGAAAATATGAGAAGTGTCCTGAGTTCCTTAGAAGAAAACCCTCAAAACACGGTGCCTATCATTAAACTGTTTTAAGCTCTTTATAAAAATAACGTTTCTCAAATTACAGAGGACTCTCAACACTGAAGGGGAAAAAAAGATTCTTTCCAAAATAGAAATATTTTTTTCTCTACTTCTGAGCCTAATAACTGAAAGCATTCAGTAGTTTCTTTAAAGATTAAGAGAACGTGCTCATTCTTTATAATTAGATACTATCAGCACAAGGTCTCTGTGCTGAGTCTTAATTAAGGGCATGATTCCTCAGGTACTTTTTTTTTAAGTAGAAAAACACTTTGTCAACTAAACTGAGAGGGCATTTCAGGGAGAATAAATAGTAATTTGGGTAAGTGGGTAATAATAAATATTAGTAGCTGACTGTGAATAAGAGATTCTGGTCTGCAGGGTGTTTTTATGTGTGTTGCTGAGTTTCACAGAGAAGGTGAGGTGAGGTTACCCTAAGCCCTTCTTACACTGGGGGAAACTGAGTGTTGGAGGTTGAAACAGCCTGAAAGCAGTGGACCTGGGATCTGCTCTCATGAGGTTTTACTTTTGATCCTCCGCTTACATAGAACTTATTTTAGCAGCTAAAGGGTGTAAACTTTAGGCTGCCCAGGTTTCAGTTTTGGATTTCTTCACTTTGTGATGTTGGGCAAGTCATTTTCCCTTGCTGTACCTCTATTTGTATGAACAGATAATAAAAATACCTACTCTTTACAGAGTTGAAGGAAGGATAAAGAGTGATAGTGCTGGTAACTGCAGGACATAGATCTTTACCGTTAGGATCCTTGTTCCCTCGCTTTATTTCACTTCTCATGAAAGGAAAAGCAGGTAGGAAGGAGAAGCATCTAAAAACTGACCCCATGCTGATCAGTTCAGAATCAGGACATCAGATCTGGGCGTCTTCCTCTAACACCTAGGATGGAAACTATTCATAGTCTTAGCAACAAGTTTCCAGATCTTCCTGGGCCTGCCTCCAAGCCGCCTGGACTGGGCTGCAGGCCTCAGTGACCTCCCTGAAGCAGCAGAGTCACACTGAATGACACGAACATTTTGTCAGGGAGGTCTTTGATTTTCATCCCTTTTGGGTTGGGATAAGGGCTCAGCTGAAGAGTGGACAGATCTGCTCCATGTGGCCCCGGGCTCAGCTCAGAGCTTCTAACCTACAAGCCGCCTGGGTTTTTTTAATCGGGTCAGTTGAGACCGCCCGGCCTGCATCTGCGCAGATGACAGGTGAACCATCCAGGCCTCAAGGGGGCTTGAATGTCATTGCTCTGGCTGAGCTTTTGCAATCATCTGACTCAATGACCCGGCACTGAGAAACAAAACGCAGCAAAAAGAAATAAAAACCCAACCAACTAACACCCACAGGGGGTAAGTTCCCTCCTACATCTGATCCTAAAACTCAAACAGCTGCTACCTCCTTGGTTGAACCACTGACAAAATACACTCAAGGGAGCCAAGGAGGGAAATCAACAGTCAACCAATTAAAAAGAATCAGTGGCTTGAAGGTCGTGGTTAGACTTACTTTCTTCATCATTAATATTTGGCTAAAGCTCATTAAAAATTATTGTCTTTTCCAACATTGGGTTTCAGACAGGAAGCAGCTGACCCAAACAGGTAGTTTCAAGCTTGAAGTGAACCTGGGACTGAATATTGTTACCACATGGGGTGGGGAAAGGGAGTCGGGGGAAAGAGTCACTGGGTGTGCTTTGAACTCATCCAGTTTTGAGGCTTAATCCAAGAATGCCTTGGGGTCACCTAGAGCTAAAGCAGGACAAGACGGAGGAGAGTGAGGACAATCAGAGGTACGCAGAGTCTTTAAAACAAGCCAAGGTGCTTTAAAACTGGCTTACTGCTGAATTCCCTCTTGCTAATGCTGCCTGCACCGTGGCTCACGTGAGGTGTCGTGGCCAGTCCCTGTGTGTCGGGGCTGATCTCAGGGCCATCCTAGCAGGGTCCACAGAAGAACCTTAAGGGTGTTGGGGAAGGGAGGGAGATGAAGAGTCCACTTTCTGCTTTTCTCAAAATCCCCAGTGCCCTAAAAAGTTTTTTACGTGGGGAAACTACTGCAGGACAACCAGAAAGGACAGTTCACCTTGAGAGGCTGGGTAATTGACAGAGACTTACCCGTACGACGTAGTTAAATCTTCTGGAATCCAGAATGGCAGTTGAGAAGTCGAGCCTGTTGAAAGCTTCCCCCAGAGTGCAGTATCCATGGCGCTGAATGTGAAGACAGGGGTGCAAGGGTCATTCTCCAGAGCCATCTGCCCGGACTCTGTTGACAGGCTTGGGGGCCGTCTTAGGTAACCTGTGGCCATTTGCTCCTTTCCTGTGCCATGATCAGCTCTTTCTGGGACCACCCCCACCCCCTATGATCACAGAGATGGGCCCTGCAGCCAGCAGCTGCTTTCATCAGTGACTAAAGTCATGACTTGTACCCTGCACGCACTTGTACTTGCTTATCAAGGAGAGGTTGGGAGCTGGATGTATGATATGTGAGATGCTGATGGCTGGTCACAGTCACATACTCCTGGGAGGAGAACTAGCTCCACTTATGTCAACTCTGTCTGCCCCTTGCCTCACATCTTGAGTGCTTTTCTCATCGTGATCATCACAAGTGTTTTTAAGGCTTCATGAAGAAGCCAAAGAAGTTTCAGGCTTTTCTCTATGAATTCACAAGGCACTGGGCATAGAGAGCCCTGACTCACAGCTGCAGCTCTACTCCCAGTACCCAGGTGGTCTCGCGTATGTCACTGACCCTCTTGGGGCCTCCGATCACAGAGGGAACTAAATGTTTTCCAAGGTGTCTGATAGCAATAGAAATTCTATCATCCTGCCTGTATCCTTGTTATCTGAGCAAATGTAGTCATTACAGCATCTTGTTCCCTTCTGCATCTAGCTGTGTGTTGCCTCCACTGGGCAGGCACTAAAACTAATGCTCTGCTTCGCGATTAACCCTTCCGGGGCTAAAACTGAACTGAGTTGAAGTCTAAAAGAGATCTTAGAACAGAAGGGAGGCTCTGTCCCCAGGGAAAGGCTAGAGCTTTATCATCGTACATCTGGGATGGGTGTAGCAGTCTTTCTAGCACACTTCTACATGGATTATCTCGCTCAGTCACTGGGGAGTCCACCCGACGACTGTGGCGTCTCTCTCTGTAGCCCCAGACTCTGATGGTTGGCTAGGTAGTCAGCTGCTCACTGCCACCACCCACACCCCAAGAAGACAGGCATGATTTGAGGTAATGTTTCCCAGTCTCACTCCTACCCTGTCAGGGGAGGCATAAAGCTACACATACTCCTTAATAAATAGAGGGGTGCTCACCTCTTTAGTACTTCCTTTGTGAACATAGATCCATTTTTCTTGGTGGAAATCTACAAAGACAGAAAAAAAAACCCCCAAAAAACCCACAGCTTTAAAATTTATAACATGTCCACGATTTTTTAAAGTTGTTTCTTTTTCATTTAGTCCAAAGTATAAAAAGTTTTGAACCAAAATACAAAGACTCTACTGACAATTTAAGGGGATGCAAATGCCTAATTTCAGCAATATATAAATACCGGAGTTATAATTTACTTTGTTAGAAGCTCTTCAAGTCTTTAATACCCAGATTTAGTACACCAAAGCTCCAAATTAAAAAAAAAAAATCTAACACCCAAGTATGAATTTGTTTTTAATGCCAAGCCTACAACTTACACAAGGCCATAAAAAGTAAAAATAAAACAGATAACATGAAGAAACCATGCAGTACAGCTGGAATAAACTAAAGATCTGTAATTCCTGTTTATTATTGGAACTTTATACTCTGTTCGTATTTACATACAGCATTTAGAAATGTTACTAGTATTTACACAAGGAAGGAAGGAGAAACAAATGACTTTCAAAGCCTCAAAACACAGTTCCAGATAAAAGCACTTGCTGGAACTGGTTCAGCCAACTGTATGCCTGTATAATAACTAAATTAACTACGTCAAAGAGAAATGACAAGCAGGGAAAAAACACCTCAACTTGCAACTGACTTATAAACAAGACTATAAAGAACACATTAATCTCACCCATAAAATGCACAGCCAGGTTTCTGAGTGCAAAGTTCCCAGTAACCTCTGTCAATGACACAGTCAACATCAAAGCAGAAGCTGAACACGTGAGGTGTGATCCCCCCTCTTCCCCCCATCAAAAAACCAATCGTCCTGCTCTTCAAACAGCTTTCCTCTTAAGTGCAAAACAAACGGCTTACACTGAGTTTTGGTTTTGCTATTCAGCATGTCCTTCTTTCTCTTCTTGGCTGCAACGTCATAATTCAGGCTGTTGAAAAGATTCTCCTTATTGTATACTTCCTTGTTGCAGTAACTAGGAATAACCAGACAACAGGGGATGAGCTGTTGCAGCTATACTTTAACATGAGCTGTTTCTATAAATAGCTTACTGAGTTATAAAACACAAACACACGTGCTCTTCAAACAAAATAATAAAATAACCACTCAGAAGAAGCCTCTACTGGCACAGGGGTCCTCTTGGGAGGAAATACTGTCACTTCTCTGGAAAAGGCAGGGATGGGGGCTTCTGCTGCTTTTGAATTCCTAAGTGGCTGCCATTGTATTTGACACGCAGCCATTCAGAGGACTCCAATATTATTTGAAGCAAAAATGATGAATGGAGGGGGAGGAGAGAGGGCAAGGAATGATCCTGGTATCACTGCAATACACAGTGCCTTCATTTTGCAAAAGCATCCACCCCAAACTGCTTTTTAAACAACAACTTTGTGGAGATGTAATTCACATATCATACAATCCACCTATTTAAAGTGTACCTAAGCTGCTTTTAACTAGCACGCTCCCCTTACGTGTTTAAAACATTTACAGAAGTGTGACTTACAGCCTGCATTTCTAGATGTTAATGTTATAGTAGTAGTTGTTTGGGTTTCATATAATTTCTTGACTAACATCAGCATCATGCAGTGAGGTGAAGACCTCGGGTCCTAAATGAATCTAGCTGAATGTACAACTCATACATTTCTAAGAGCTGGAAACACAGATGGCCCAATTCATAGGTCACTGAAGGATATGCGGGTTCAACTTGGGTCAGGGGCATATTTCTTTCAGTAGGCTGAGCTGTCGTTTGGGGGACTGACTGAGTTCTTTTGTTATGTCACGGAACTTCAGAGTAAGTCTCTGAAGAGTTTCCACAGAAAGGACGCAGGAGAAATATTGAGGTATAATGAGAAGATAGGTTCCCTGATCTCCCCAACTCCCATGCGGTGGGCATGTGCAAGGCAGGATTTATAATGCCAACCGCTGAAACATAAATTTGGGTTTTTTTTCTTACATCACCCATATTACCAGAGTCCTTTCATCTTCTGGGTTCCTTGGCTGAATTTAAAATGTGATTTGATTTCTTTTTTGGACATAACATCTGTTGGATAAGAGGAGGTACACCTGCATTTCTCCATCACATTGATATTATGTAAACGGTTCAAGAGAAAAGAGGGGTTGGAACAGTTTCCAGTATCCTGTTGCTACAGTGGTCTCTCCAGGAGCACTCCAATAAGTACAATAGTATCTTGCTAACTTGCTTCCATGTGACATCAATAATACATCCAGTGTTTCTGGGCCCATAGGGATAGGCTTGATGGATCATCAGTCATTTGTTAATCTTCCCTCAGAAGGCCAGGCTTCATACCATTTATTGAGTTTCCTAATATCATTAGCCTTCTGCTGTTCATTCAGGGGAACAGGATATTTTTAGGTTTCAGAGATATCACTGCAGAAATGCCCACTCTTAGAGGCACTTTCTGGAGTGAGCTAAGGCTGTATGTTGCGGGCTCGGCTTTCTGTTGCAGATGAGTGTGTGTTTGTCTACTTGCACAACTATAGGGGCACAAAACCACCAAACAGCCGGTTGACCTGCTGCAAGGTCAGCTGGAAAGAAGGGACAGAACAAAGGGAGAGCAGAACTCCCAGTCCTTAGAGCTAATTTAAGAAAGTTCAGTCAAAGCTGAGGAGAAGGGAGAAAGATGGAAAGTCACTTGACTGGTCCATGATGTACCAAAGCTGAGAACAGCTTTAGAAAGCAAAGTGAGGCCATTTTGTGTAAAAATACCACACGAAGGCTTATTTTTAAAGAAAACACATGCACGCACTATGAACAAAAACCTACAGCCTGCATTCCACCTATAGAGAACCTGAAAATGCAGCTGATTGTCAGTCACACATTTAAGGGTTAGTAGAACGTTTTCAGAGTCTGGGCCATAGATGGTGACCATTCCTTAGAAATGTTATTTATATTTCATCTTATTCTTTTCTAATTGAAAACACTCCTCAAAGGAATTGGAGCACTCGCTTTCCTCACAGAAACAACAATAACCTGCTTTAAGCCCAAGTGACTCATTCCCAAAGCTAATTTAAGAAGAATTGGACATAATTGATGCGCTCCCACTTATAATGTAGAAAAGCTTTAACCAAAGAGAAACCTGGCCCTTTCTGCTTAGTTATTAGGTTTTGGACTTTGGAGGTAGGGCCTGGAAGGAAGGGCCGTAGGGTTTATTTGTGTTGCCTGCTTATATGTTTTCTTTTAAGCAAGAATATATTCAGTTAGAGGCTATTTTGAGAGTTCAATTATGTCCATTTCAAGGAAATGCAAAGCCAATGGAAAATTACAACTTAAATTTTTAACGAGAAAAGCCACCACCATTTAGGGACCACAACATTTAATTTTTTTTTTAAATAAGCAAAACCATTTAAAGAGGCTGCTTTTTTCATTAAATTCAATAATAACCAGTAAGTTGCTATTTTATGGTCAGTTCTCACTAATCTTGATTTTTATAGGCACAGGCCTTGAATAAGAAAAAAAGACCTCTTCCAGCCCTATACTGTCATCACACACAAACCACGATACTTAAAGACAACTTTAGAAAAAGTGGAAAGATTTCAAAATAAGCGCATTTGGCAGCAGAGATAAAGGGAGGGAAGGGGAAAAAAAAAGCTCTATTTCTCATTTCATTTGCAGTAACAGACCGTTTAAGAAAGCTGTGGCCTGCCCCAAAGGGCTTAGTTATAGATTAAGGCCAATGAGGTTTCTATGCTAATTTGCTCCAATACAAACCTAAATTGTCAGACGCACATGGCTAGTACCCGGATTGTTCTGGTGAAACAAACAGCCTAGTGTATGAAGCTCTGAGAACAGTGCAGTGCACAGAGTAAGCACTCATAAAAATCTTAACTATTATTTTTATTTGCCTATGCACTAACTCATCCAGGGCACCGAGGCAAACTTCCTGCTTCCTGGTTCAGCCTTAGCAATACTGGAAAGCAGTGCTGGAGTTTTCAACTGCAGGACTGCAGGCTTGCAGCAAAGTGGCCCAGGCTCAGGTAGCTAGGATTACTCATCCCCGGGGTGGGGTGTGAGGAGGGCTGTGTGCGAAGTGGCTCAGCCACCACTTCCTTGAAGCATTCTTGGATCACCCAATTCATGCCAAACTCTTTCTTTGAATTTTTCATCTGCCTAAATTTCACACTTGCCATTTCTCCTCTGTCTGACGTACTTTCAACTTTTTAACCAGGGGTCCTGCTTTAAGCTTATTGGAAATCCTCTCATGATCTCAGTTCAGGGCACTTAGTTGGGATGGGATTGGTTAACATTGTGCTGCTGGAGGAGGTCAGGGCCCCGGACCACAGAGGGAATGGCCAGCAGAGTCCAGAGAGGGTGTTCTGGGCAGACAAGCTATAGAAAACCCGAAACAGTGTTCCCAGGCTGGAACACACCATATGCACCCTCACCCCCCACTCTTGTTGAGGCCCCTCACAGAAAGGCAGGTAGAGTTAGAGTGAGTGCACTAGGCCTCTGCAGGCCTCTGCTTTACATCCTCCCCCTCTCTCCCTCTCCAAGGGCCTGCCTTTTGTTTTCTCCTAACAGGAGAGGCATTCAGCTTCACCTGTGTAGGCCGGCACTCAGCCCAAACCTGACGTCACAGAGAAACATCACCCAGGCTGAAAACAGTAGGGATATTTGAGATGACAAACCCAGGTCTCAGAAGGCCAATGCTTTTAAGAAGTTGGCAGACTTCTCATGCTAAGTAAGGGAGGGATTGTTTACAATTGCGGGGGGGGGGGGAAACACTCTGCAAACAAACAGCCAGCTGCTTTGCTAGGAGCTACCAAAAGATTCCTCAAATGACTCATCAAAGAGCCACAGGTGGTCACTATCTCGATCACCATTTGTGACAATGATGGTGGTGCGACAGCTCTAGCTCTGAAGGCATGAAAGGGGAGAAGAGAAAGGAGGTTCAAGAAGGGGGGAGAGGGGTGGGAAGCTACCCGATCCCAGCCTAGGTTAAACTTTTGTGGTAAAGTAAAACCACCTTCAGGTCTCCCCTACTGTGGAGAGAGAGGCACCACTATTTTCTTCTAAATAGGAGTCACACCAGCTTATCTCCTGGAGCAGACACAGTATGAGTGTTTATATGAACCAGATGCTCTGCCTTCTGAACCTCTCCTGCTGAACCCCATGATCTGCTTCCCACTGAGGCGTACCCTACAGTTACATCTGGGTGAGCCCTGCCACACAGCATATCGTGGCTGCACCTCCTTAGAAGTCCAAACTGTTACACAAAAATAAAGTACCAAAATATTAGACCCTCATTTCTTAGGAATGAGGAGGAAGGAAGGAAGCGTCTACCCTACTAAAATAAAAGCTTTTAGTCCAAGGAGAAAAACTTAGGCATAATTGGTAACTAGAGTCCCTAAAAGAGGCTAGTGACAGCAGTTGGTCTTTTCATTTTTATGTAAATTATCTGATTTTCCATAAATAAGATTTCTTTATAGTGCTCCCCAAACTCCCCAGGGACTTCCTCAAAGTGTCTTTAACATAAAGATCAATGTGCTCTTGTCTCTCCTGACAGACACCAGAGATTAAATGCTTTAAAATTTTTCATTGGAAGACAAAAGGTGATGCTTTACAAATCACAAGCAGATGGGGGGGGGCTCTGGAGGTCAGGACGTCAAAATAACTATATTTTCTTGATAGTTTTCCTAAAATTGAGTACCCAGGGCTCAGCCAAATAACCACTGGTAAATCTCAGTGAGAGGGAAGATGGCCCAGTTACAGAGCTCTCTATTGAAGTCAATTTAAGGGCTGGGGATGAAGGGCAGTGGTTTTAACCAAAGGCCCCAGGTAAAGGCACCCAAGGGTGACCAGGCTGCACGGATCCCCTCTGAACCCACTTCCAGTGCTCTCCTCAATGGGCCAAACTGCAGCCGTCTGGAAGCCAACAGTGGAGATCTGGGACTGACAGATTCCAGACCATCTAACTGGTTAGTCGGCACTTCTGTGTTATCAAGGAAGCAGAGCATCAGGCTGGGCAGACCTCGGATTTTCCACCAGATTGACGGGGCTCATGTGGGACTTGAGTCCAGAGGCTCACCCAAGCCAGGGTGGCTTTCTGCAGGTGACAGGCATCACTTGAAATGGGGGTGCATTCACTATACAAAGAACACTGACTGGAAGGGCCACCGGGGAAACAGGTGCAAAAACTCGGTCCTCCCAGAAGCAGAAGGCTTGTGGGTTTCATCCCCGCCTCCCTTCCCTCCTCCGCAGTCTCGAGTCTTTACCATCGCTCCGCAAGTCCGCCCGCAAGCGCTGGTTGCTCAGGGACCATCTGGCCGCCCCTTCCTGGTTACTCATAATCCCTGCCCACTCTGTGGTCGCCTGTGCGTGGGAAGAGCCTTGAGGTGCTCCGGGCGGGACCCGTGTCCAATCCTGTTTCCCGACTTGTGCTCAGAGCCCCGCCACCCCTGCAGTGAAAGGCGCGCAGCCCACTCGCCTGCGCCCCCCGCCCCCAGGCAAACAGCGCGACTCCGGTGTCGTTAAGGCAGGGGACGCCTGAAATTGTGTAAAGTTTGAGCCTTTGCGGACAAGACCGCGTTTGTCCCCAGGGTTCTGTAAGGAGTCGTGACGCTGGAGACGCTGACCTTGAACGATAAGAGAAAATACCCTGAAACCCGTGCTCTGGCGACCTCTGCAGAAACCTGCGCAATTCACTTCCATCCCTCTGGTCAGGGGCTCCCTCCTCACCCTCCTGCGGCCCTGCCGCGTCCCATTCCCCCGCTCCACTCCCGAAAACCAGCCCAGGTCTGTTTTGCGCAGCTGAAGTTCGTGGCGATCCCCTCACCTGCTGAGATCGCTCACGAAGCTGCCGCTCTTCTCATCCAGGAAGCGCTTCCAGCCGTCGGCTGTCTTCACCCAGCTCTGCCCGGGGGACCGCCAGTCCTGCCCGAGGAATGGCATGGCACCGCAAACCAATGGATGCGACGGACTGATGGACGGGACCGGCCCAGCAGCCTCTGGGACGCGCCGCCCTGGGCGGGTGCTCGGGGTGCTGGGGTCGGCTAGGGACCGGCTGCAGAGACCCGGCGTGGAGGGCTGCGGGGTCGGGGGTGCGGAGTGGGGTCCTGGGCTCGCGGAGGGCGCTGGGGAGGAGTGCAGGGAGCGCAGGACTCGCTGGAGTGCTGCGCTGCTGTCCCGGCCGCCGTATTTATCTCGGGCCGCTGGCCGCGGCTCTTTGTTGCCGGAAGAGCCTCCTGCTCTTAGCCCAGCCCCCAAAACCCAGAGGCCACGTGGCTTTGTTATGGGCTCAGCTTGTTTTCCGAGGCAACCGGGGCTCCTGCTCCTCTGGCTGTTGCACAACCGCTCGCCGGTCGAAACTTGAAGCC